CCTCCCCCAGCACCTGGGATGGGCACATGGCTGTCATCACCGTGGCTGCACTCGGTCTCCCGCTCCTGGAGCAGCCACGGCCATCTCAGGGGCCTGGAGACAACAAACGGCTCCCTGCTGATGGGCCGCTCACCGCTGCCTGCCTGCCGGCCTGTTCCGCTGCACACGGGCAGATAATCCTGTAAGGCAAGGGAACCCCTCCTGTCTGTGGTGGTGTGATTTAAACCTGAACTTTGCTTTGTTTTCTTTCATCCCCCCAGAGAAGCAAGATTTAGATTATAAATTTCTCTGTCTTCCTGGGAGCCTGTGTGCGCACATGCACACAGCACATGTGCACAGACACATGCTTGCACATGCACACAAAGGTGCTCACATGTTGCCAACTCCCTGTGCATGCACACCCAGACATGCCCTCCCTTTTCCAGACTACAGTGCACCTGTCAGCCACACAGGATGCATTTGTACACACACACACAACTCACGGCCACCGGTTAGGGTAGGTTAGATGTGTTGGTGGCTGGAAGCTTTTGGTGTGGGGTAGGAGATGAACTGCCTTGGGACACTACCATTTCAAGAAACCCTCCAGACTCTGTCACATGGAGGAGGGAGTGAGGTGTGTGTTCCTGTGTGTATGAGTGTGTCTCTCTGTGTTCCCGTGTGCACATGGGTGTGTTTCTGTGACCACCTTTGTTGAACATGGAGGTTGACAAGAGTATAGCACAGCCCAGGGACTGGAATTATGCCCACGGTGTCACTGTCACACTGTTGAGCTTGGGCAATCTGCTGTCTCTCTCTGGGCTTCAGCTTCTGCCGGCCCTTGAAGGTCTTGCGCCTTCTGACTTGCTAGTCTGGGTAGCCTTGAGGGTGTGTTTCTCCAAGGTGTACTACACTGGGCTTAAGAGTGTGTGTGCACAAGTGTGTGTGCATGTGTTTGATATGTGTTGGTGTGTTTGGGCTGAGTATATTTGTGCGTGTGTTTATGTGTATGTGTGAGTGTACTCTTAAGGGTGTGCTTTTCACAGCAGAGGATGCCGCGTGCCCATGATAGCACCCCGAGTCCATGTGTATGACAGTGTGTCTGGAAGTTGACCTGTGGCTCTGTGTTTGCTCAGTGGAAGAACTTGCAAGGGTGAGACCGAGCGGTACCCTGCACAGCCCCTGCTGTGGTTTGAATGTCTCTACAGAAACTCTTGTTGAAACTTAATCTCCATTGCGCAGCCTGAAGGGGACAGAAACAGAGACACTTTTGAAGGTCATCAAGGTGAGACGGGGCCATCATGGTGGCCTAATCTTATGAGGCACTGTGCTCATAACGAGCTCGCATGCTCAGCCTTTGTTGTTGTGTGATGCCCTGTGCTACTTAGGGACTCCGCTGAGACCCTGCCAGCAAGAAGACCTCACCAGATGTGGTTGCCTGATCTTGTACCCCTCAGCTTTGAGAATTGTAAGCCAGATAAGCTTGTTTTTTTGTGTATTTTCCATGTCCTGTCTTCTAGCACAATACAGAGCTCCTCAGCCTTCATCTGTGGCATTGGTCAGCACTGGATGCATGAGACATTTACTCCTAGATGCTCAGAGGCAGACTCAATGAGGGTAGGGATATTAGCCATTTTGTTCGTGTTTGTGTTCCCACTATTGGAACAGTCTCTGGCAGAGTGGCATCGTACATAATCAATAAATATCTGCCGATTGAGTGAGTGGCTCTACCTCCCTCTGCAAGTATCCCTCTTCACGAGGGCTTCACCACTCTCCTTGGACCTGCACCTGCTCTTCAAGTCCCCTTGTTTTGTTCAGCCTTTTCTGTGTTACTGGCCTGTTCCTGAGTGCCTTGCTGGTGTTTACTTTTTATTGACCAGTTGAAGTTTTGTCTTGGTATCGATTTAGGATAAAAGTCCTCAGAGAGGTGGTTTTTCCGTGGAGTACCGGGATTTTGTGTGAAGGTCAGGGGCAGCGTTTTGATGGTGCGGGTGACGGAGATGGGGAGAGAGATGGCCCTGCTCCAAGGCTCTGTCCCCCGATTCAGAGGGCCAGCTCTGCAGTCGTGGGTTCAGGTTCTGGCGTCCTGCCTGAATTTCCCATACGTCCATGTGTGGCTTCTCGGAAATCACTAGGAATCTTTGTTCCACTGTCCATCCCTGTGGTGGCCACAGACCTGGGCCCCAGCTCAGATGGCTTCTTGGTCTCACTTTTTGCTTTCCCCTCAGACAGGTCTGTGTCCCAAGCTTAAGGAATCCCCTCAATCCCACAGCTCAGCTGTCACCAGATGAAGAGACCGGGGAAGGCCAGGGCTCAGTGCTGGAGGGCAGCCATGTGAGAAAGCTGCCCTCAGCCTGAGGACAGGCGGCCATGTAGCTGGAAATGGGCCCTGGGGGAGGGGAACACCTGGCCACGGGATCCTGGCCCCTGGGGTTTCAGGAGGTTGTGGTCAGTTAGAGGCACTGGAGTTTGGTGGCACGTGCCTGAAGTCTGATGAAGGGTTAGGATCCCCAGGCTGGTCTTGTGCTTGGCTATGGGGGAGTCAAGGGCACGGCATGAAGGAACTTAGGACTGCAGGGTGAAGATGGGCTTTGGGGGTCAGGGTGAAGGGCCAGTGGTCCTGTCTGCAGGGAGTGATGATGTCTGTATCAAAGCCATCTGAGGATGGTGGCACAGAGCCAGGGGCAGGTGGGAGTGAGGCGTGGTCGGTCTGTGGATCACAGTGCAGGACCCAGGCACAGTGATCAGATTCAGACAGAGCTGAGCTGTAGTTTCACCTTAACCAGCCCTGTGACCTTGGGAGAAATTTAACCTGACTCTTATAGACAAAATGGAAATGGATCAAGCTGTCACTATTACGAGTGTTTTTATTTAATTTTTTTTTTTTTTTTTATGAGTAACCAGGGATCGAACTCACAACCACACGCTTGCAAGGCAGGTGCTTATGCCGCTGAGCTAAATCCCCAGGTGTTTATTAAAAAAAAAAAAAAGCTGCCCAGCTCTAAGAAAGGGAGACCTTCTCCACAGGAATGAAAAGATCCAGGGTTTTGCTAATCTCAAATTAGTGTGAGGGTCTGGTAGTGATGGTGAAGTTCGTGATATGTAGAAAAGATGGTAGCTATCCCTGGGGCTAACATGGGTTCACCAAGACCAGGCGAGTTCTTCAAGTTCGGGGCAGCTTAATGTCTGCTAGGGGGAGGGGGGTGAAGAAAATGACGTGTGTAGGATTGGAAGAAGATCATTACTAAGCACCATGTGTGTGCCAGGAACTCCACACGCACCATCTCACATAATCCTTACAAGCTTGTGTCCATTTTATGGATGGGAAAGTCTCTGGGACTATAAGTGACCTGCCCAAGACCATGGAGCTGGGATTTCAACCTGGATGTGTCTGACCCTTTCTGCTGTGTCACACCATAGCTCTGATGACATTAGTCTCTTGTGACCCTCGAGGACATGTGGGGCCACTGGGAGGGCACAGAGATGGCTGCCATCTGGCTAAATGATAGTCATGAGTCCCTCCTGTAGGAAGCCTTTAGAGACTCCCACAGCCTCTGCCTTCCATCCTGTTCCCATCAGTCTATGTTCCCACTGGCCTGTGACAGGAGGAAGTGGCAGGAGCTCAGAGGGACAGAGAAAGCTCAGGGAGCAGAATGAAAGTCCAGAAAGATCTCAGCAGACTGGAGGCCAAAGTGAATTAACATGAAGAAATATCACAGCAGCAAGTGCTGAGGCCTAACCATGAGAGCACAGTGGAGGGAAGAGCAGCTCATGACAGAGGGCTGAGGAGCTCACGTGCCAGCCAGTTGAACCAGTAAACTGCATTAAAAGAAGTGGCGTATCTGGGACAAGGGAGGGGACCGTCCTCCTGCTTCAGCCTACTCTCAGTCCTGGAGCTGTTTCAGTTGTAGATATTTGAAGGTCAGATGCTACTTTCTGTTTTTCTAGTGCTTTTCTCATTCCTTGTGGGGGGGAGTTTGACCTTATGATTTTATCCAGAGTGGGCCCACAAAGCGACACCTTTAAAGGTAACAGAAAACAAAAATGCAGATTTTCTGAGCTTTTGTTTGAGTGTCAGGTCTTGGCTTTCACCTTTATGCCAAACTAGCATCAGCAAGGGAGAGGGCTGCGCCAGTCTGGGATGTTCTGGCGCTGGGAGGGGTCTTGGTCCCCGTCCACCCCCTTCCCAGCTGGCTCCTTTGCTTCTTGGAGGCTGCATCCTCGAGGCCAGTGCTGCCAGGGCCGCAGGGCTGGCTGTGTTCTGCAGGAGGCTGGGTGGGAGCAGGGAGCCTCGAATTGCTCACACTGGGCTGCATCTCTGCTTGAGCTGGGTGTCACCTGCCAAGCTGAATTGGGTACAGGAAGCGCCTGGCTGGGAGACACACTGTTTAACTTGGAGGTTCTGCTCTACTCTGAAATGCACTTCTTCTGGCAGCTGCAGTGAAGTGAAGCTGTTGAGCTTCCCTCTCTTATGCCAGACTCACAGCCACTTTTTCCTGAGAAAGAAACAGGCCTCCAGACAGTTTTACTCATTAAAGACTTCTTTTCCTCCTAAATCTGTTTTTGTGATTTTTTTTTTTTTTCACGAACGGAAAAGTAAAACGGATGATATTGAGATAAACAAGGCATTTGTGATAGGAAGGTTAAAGCAGATTGTTGGGGGTGGGGAGGGGGGCTGGAAACGCCCCACGCTTCTGCACACAGGCTGCTCATAGCCTGTTGGGGATGGGAGTGGAAGTGTGCGTGCGTCTGCCCAACTCCTAGCCCAGGGGAGCCTGCTCCTTCCAGTGTGTTGGGGTTCACTGGGAAAGGTAGTGGGGAAGGGAACTATGGTTGAAGAGCCTACTAAGTGCTATGCTTGTAATCTGCACAAGTCCTTGTAACAACCCTGGGTGGTCAGACCTATTTTACAGATTTGGCAAGTTGAGGCTCAGATGGGTTAAGGTTCACGAGCCAGGGTGCATTGAATGTCCATCTGTCTAACCTCTGATACCATGCTTTTTTGGCTATACTTTGTTTCCCAGAGCAGTGTTTTAAGCCAGAAGATCCTAAAGGAGGAAGAAGAGAAGAGGAGGAAGATGAAGAGACACTGGCTGGTCCTGAGGAGTGGACATCTTGCCTGGTGAGACTGAATGAGACACTGATCACATGAGTGGAGTTGCTGGGTTCTCACAACTGTGGGTGGTGTGGGGAGTGTGTGTGTATGTGTGTGTGTGTGTGTGTGTGTGTGTGTGTGTGTGCGCATGTATGTGTGGGTAGAAGGTGTGAATGGGTTTGGCTGATAACCAAGACAGGCTTCCTGGAGGTGCAGAGCCCAGACAGTCCAGAGGAGCTGAGTGCATGGCTTTGCAGCAGCAGGAACCAAGGCAGTGAGTGGAGGTAGCCACAGTGGGCAGTGGTGCTTGGGGACAGCGTCGGTGTGGGCATGAGAGGACCTGGATGGAGAGCATGACCCAAGAAAGAGCCCTGGGAGGCGGCTGTGTGGTTCTTGTTCTGGCTCTGCCATTGACTGCTGTGTGATCCTAGACAAATCCCTTTCCCTTTTGGGGCCTCTGAGTTTTCAACTGGACCACAGGAGCCCTACGGATCCTTGCAGGGTCCATGAAGGAAGGTGACTGTAGAATTCAGAGGGTTGATTGTCAAGACCTGGTATTAGCATCATGAAGCTTAGAACCGACAGGGCCCCCAGGAATCATCTACCTAAGCTCTTATTTACATTTTAACGATAAAAGGGAGCCACTGAGGCAAAGGGAAGGGAGATGGGAGGGGGCAAAGAGGGCATCCCAAAGAGGGGGCAAAGAGGCCAGAGGCCTCATGTGACGAAAGGCACGGGTGGAGGCAAGAGACAGGTGTGTAGGGAGCATCAGGGAGTTTTGTCTCCCTCCTCTGGGTAATGGGCACCCCTGGGGGGTGTGACTGGTATGTCAAAGGGGCCATTTTGAGAGGAGGTGGTGGCAGCTTTGTGGATGATGGAGTGGACTGGAGCTGGGAGTGGGTGCAGGCCCAGGACTCACACTGGCAGGGCTGGTTAGGAGGCCCTGCGTGGTGGGCGGAGCCGGGGCTTGAGACCACACCTGCTCCTGAGGGGTAGGATGTGGGTTGGATAGGGCGCATCACCAGATTGGAGGGAAGAGTGGGACTCTCGGGTGCTGGCAGGCCACACAGGAGGGGAGAGCTGTTTGTTGGGCTGACGATTGGTTCCATTTTAGATCTGGTGGCTTTGAGGTGTCCATGGGACACATGTTATGCACTCTTGCGCCTGTTTATGTGCCAAGGATGGCCAGATGCCTCCTTCCTGTAGCTGTCAGTGTAGGGGCATCATGCAGGGCTCAGCCTCCTTCAGAGAATAGAGATCTGCAGTTCTGGCTCCTGCACCTTTTATGCTTCAGGAAACAAAGAGCATAGAGAGAATGTGTGTTGACTTTAAGTAAGACATGGATTCTAGTCCCGGTGCCTTTTTGCATGGTGTTATGAGTGTGTGTGATACTAGATACTAGAGACCCGACCACTGAGCTACACCCCTAGGTCCTTTTTATTTTGAGATAAGGTCTTGCTAAGTTACCTGGGCTAGCCTTGAGCTTTTGTTCAGTTATTAAGTGGGTTTAAGCAAACCTCTGTTATACGCAGTGGTGTCCTGGAGTGGATTCCAGAGGCCCATAGAATTGAGTAAGGACACTTCTTTTCAACTCCCTGTTCACCAGCATCACTGTCACAGCTTGAAAGGCACCATCATGAGAATATTCACACCACAGCAGTTGGCAAATAGTACAAATCATTTTTGTTTTGTTTTTTGTGGTACTGGGGATAGAACCGAGGGCCTTTGAGCTGAGCTATAGCCCTCTTTTAAAATTTTATTTTATTTTAACTTTGACACAGGGTCTTGCTAAGTTCTAAGTTGCCTAGTCTGGGCTTGAGCTTGTGCTCCTCCTGCCTCAGCCTCCCAGAGTGTTGGAATTACAGGTGTGTACCGCCACAGCTGGCTCAGAGCATTTTGTTCTTCCCAAGAGCCGCTTCCCAAATTACAGTGAATACTTACTGCTTGCAGAGTTATGAGGAGGACGGGCTGCAGAGCTCCCAGGCCCCACATGCTTGGCTGCAGAGCACCCAGGCCGCACAGCTACACACATGCTTGGCTTACAGCAGTTTCTTAGTAAGTACAGCTGCCTTCTCTTTTGACCTTTGCTTTGTAGGAGAAATCTATTGCTTCATTTGCTCAGAACAGCGGCCTTTCTTCAGCCGGCGGCAGCTCTTTTCTCTCAGGCTCTGTGGTCCCAGTGGAAGCCGCCATCTTCCTCCCTTGGCCTCCACAGAGAGGTGAGTTGAAAGGATGAGGACTTTGGAGTCTTGTGAGTCTAAGTCTGAATCTTGGCTCTGCCTCATACTAGCTGCCTGATGACCTTGGGCAAATTATTTAATGACTCTGAGCCTCAATGAAATCCCCCGTAACTGGGGAGGGACATGTCCCCCTCATTAAGTTGTTGTGAGACTGGATGAGGTCATGGGGCTGAGGCCTGGCACTGAGGCCGCAGTTTCAGTGAAAGCTGGGCCAGTGCAGCCTCTTTCCCCTCGAGCGTCCCCTGGGCACTTGGGCCAGCCTGATGGCAGGTGGTGGAGTGGGGATGAGGCTGCAGACTGTGCGAGAGGGGCCCTGGTGCAACACGTGGGTCAGGCCGGGCTGTGGCTGGGGTGCAGTGTATTTTGAGGGCAGTGGAGGGGAACCCCGTGTCAGGTCGGCTTGCTCTGCCAGCCCCCCACCTGCAGCTCCACAGATGAGCTCCTGCGTGAGCCACCTCCTGGGTTTCTGGGGCGGCAGCCAGGCCACCCTGATTTACCACCCAGCCCCAAGCAGATTAAATCACCCAGAGTCATTTGAATTTTACCCAGCCTTGTCACACAAATCTTAAAAACTGCTGTCTGGCTCGAAAACTTTCTCTTCACTTTTTGGAGGAAGATGAAGTGCTTTAGAAATTGAGGCAAAGTGGGAAAAAAGAGGGCTTTCTGGGGATTTCTGCATCTTCAGGACAGGCCAGAGTTAGAGAGACAGAGAGAGAGAGAGAGAGAGAGAGAGACAGACAGACAGACAGACAGACAGACAGAGAGAGAGAGACAGAGAAAGAGAGAGAGAGAGATTGCTGAATTGCTGAAGAGGCCTCTGGGCAATGTCAGCTTTGGACATTGGACACAGTCTGTTAACATCTCTGAGTCTCACAGGATTGTGGTGAGAGTCAAAATGGGTAGGTGTGCAAACTGTTTGGTAGACTCCAGTTCTGAGATTACTAATTGGGGAGGTGGGACAAATGGCTACAGTACTGTCGCAGTTCATGGACTTGATTTTTTTCACAATTCTGGTCACAAACCGACTTGGATGAGAACTGAATTAAAATCTATGGTTAGGTTCAAAGTGGGCCTTCTGGAGAAATTTGATTTGGTCATCATCTAGTTTGGTTTGCAACCAGAATTGTGGAGAGAAAGGAGTTCATGAACTGAGGTCCCACTGTATGGTGATGAATCATAGATGGCAGAGATCTGAGGGATCTCTGGGCCTTAAAAGGGGGCATCACTGGAGCTCTACAGCTGAGAGGCCGAGTGAGCCTGTCCTTCCCACAGTGTGTGTCCACAGTGTGTGTGTGGATGGGGAAAAACCCTGTACCGACTTTGGCACATTGGTTGTTTCTGACCAACTAGGAATTGGTTCAAGTTGGCCCAATCATGTAGAAGCTCAGAACTGTTGATAGATGCCAGAGGAAATATATTCAATCTCTGTCTGAATTTGAGAGAGAAAAATGTGACTCTAATTTCTGGCAGACCACTGGTGTGCCTAGGAGCACTGGTCTGAGAATGTAGCCTGTGTAGAGAGGTAGGAAGAGCCTAGAAAAATCACAGAAAAATGGAGTCCTTGTCCTGATCAAACTGTCCCTGAAAGCCTGTTGCATCTGCAGTGTTCAGTAAACAAGCTGTTAAATCTGCTTCATTAAGCCCGTTGGATTTCATTTCTGTATTGTTTGCAACATGAAAGTTGACACAAGGAACTGAGGGTTGGAGTACAGTAGTAGAGCACTTGCCTAGTAGTGTGGACAAGGGCCTGGGTTCAATCCCCAGGAACACACACTCACACACACATACACACATGTGTTGGGCGCAGGCGCTCAACATACCATACCCCACCCGGGACTAAGGACCACGCCAGCTTTCGCAATGCGCTACATCCCTCTCCAAATTAGCCACCCCGTGCTCACTCCGTATTCACCCCGTGCCGACTCTGTGGCAACCCCTGATTGGCCACAGCTGGGTATATTGGCCAGAGCCCGAGTTCCCATCCCAACCCTGCCTCCTCGTGGCAGCCTGTGATTGGTCACGGCTGAATATATAAGCCAGAGCCCGCGTCAATAAAGCGGCAGTTACCTGTTATCCACAAGAGCGTCCTCTGTCTCATTGGGGGCTGCGCCGGTCACACACGGGCATGCTGACACAGAATGATGGAGGGATCCAAGTGTGAGATAGGAGTCTGCTTGGTATTAGGTAGCTGCCAGCAGGAGAACACCTGGGTTGGAGGAAAGAGTTGGTGTGTGTGTGTGTTGGGATGGTGGTAGAAGGGGACCACAGAAGTAAGTCCGGAAGGAAGTTTGGGGCTGAATGACGAAAGGTCTCAGATGTGCGTTTAATAACTTGGATTTGATTCTCTAGGCAGTGGGGAGCAACTGAAGATTTGTGAGCAGAGTCATGTTGAGGGGAGTTAGAGATGTGATCTCAGTGATATTTTGGGAAGACCAGCCTAAGAATGGAGTATATAAGCCAGTTGTGTTGGTGCACACTTAGAATGCCAGAACTTTGAGAGACTGAGACGGACAATTGCACGTTTGAGCCCTGCCTCAGTAACTTAGCAATTTAGTAAGAGCCAGTCTCAAAATAAGAACAATAGGGCTGGGGATGCAGTTCAATGAGAAGGCCCCGAGTTCAGTTTTCAGTGCCCCCTCCTCCAAAGTGGGATATGTATCGGTTGGATTAGACGGAGAAGTCGGGAGCTGAGACTCGAAAAGTATCCAACTGGGTGTAGTGTGCACACCTATAATCCTAGCAGTTGGAATGCTGAGACACGATTTCCACAAGTTCGTGGCCAACGTGGGCCACATGGTGAGTTCAAAGAAGGCCTGAACTACATAGCAAGACCCTGCCTCAAAAACAAACAAACAAACAAAAACAACCACAAAACCCAAAACAACAACAGCAAAAAACACATACTGATAACTGCATGTTGTTCAGGTATTTTCTCACTTAAACCCTAAAACAACCTCAAGCCCCCCCCCCCCTGTATGTATGTATGTATATATATGGTTTAAATTGACTTTCAAAGATCTTGAGTAACAGAATGTGGACTTCAGCTCAGGTCAGCTGACTCATACCCTTAGTCTTCATGTTTACCAAAATACAAGAGACCAAGGTAGACTAGACAGAGAGGAGACCGTGGGATAAGGGTCATTTGGGTACCAAAGTGCTTGCTGTGTGCCTATTGAAGTCAGAAAGTGGATGAGGGGTGCTATCTCTGTCTCGCTGTCTCTCTCTGTGTCTCTGTCTCTCTCCTTGTGTGTGCTGGGGATTGAACCCATGGCCTTATGCACGTTAAGCATATGTTCTACCACTGAGCTACACAGTCATCTCTATTAATATTTTTAAAAACACTTTCCCTAGAGTGCTAGACATTATAATCAGATGAGAAGATTAAGTAGAAAATATAAGTAGTGGGGAGAGGAGTAAATAATCACAGATTGCAGATGAGCGATTACCTGGAAATCCTGAGATAATTTCTTGAAAAACGATTGGGGGAAAAACAGTTTAGTTTAAAAAAAAAAAAAAAGCCAGTAACAAAACAATATACATAGGCCATAGCTTTTCTATTTATAAAAATGAAGGTAAAATAAAAGGTCTCATTCACAGTGACAAGAAGAAAACAAAAACATAAAATACTTGGAATTAAACTTTAAAAGGAGTGTGTAGCATTACGTAAAGAAACCCAGGAAACTCTTGAGGATCTAAAAGATTTGAGCAAATATGAGCCATGCCTGGTTGCTGGGTGGAAATATTCAGTACCGTACAGGTGCTGTTTCTCCTTAAATGAACTCACAAAACTAAGATAATTTAATCAAAATCCCAACCAGAAAATTATTTTTGAATTTAACAAAACAACTATAAAATTAATCTGGAAGGATAAAAATGAGAGTAATCAGGAAATTCCAGAAAAGAAAAATGACCAGTACTTACTCTATCAGATATTAAAATGTTTAGCGGGGGGTGCATTACAGATGACAGAATCCCAGAGGGGTGGGATACTGAAGCAGAAGGGCCACAAGTTCCAGCCTGCCTTGGACAGTTTAACAGGTGAGATCTTGTTTCAAAATATTAAAGAAGAAAAGGCTGGGAATGTAGTTCAGGAAAAGAGTCTGGATTCAATCTTGTTTTTTTGAGACAGTCTCACTATGCAGTTCAGGCTGCTCTTGAACTCATTTCCTGGGTGCTAGGGTTACAGGTGTGCATCCCCTTGCATGTCTGGAGTCAGCCTTCAGCATGACACATACACATTTAAAAAAAGTTTCATAGGGACAGTAATTAAAATTATGTGTAATAATAAATGAATCAGACAGAATAGTGAGTCCAGAAATGGATCTAAATACTTAAGGGGATTTTTGTATAGTGAATGGCATTTCAGTTGAGTTGGGGAACATGGGCTACTTTCTAAATGCTACCTGAGCTGGGGGAGTGGGCCAGTCATCATCACAGAAGCTCTTTTTCCTTCTTACTCCAGTAGGCTTAAGTGCCGAGGACCAAGGTGATATATATGAGTGACTATTTTGATCATCGTGAGGTGGGGAAGGGTCTTCTAAGTATGTCATGATATCCAGAAATCATAAAAGAAAATAGTTAATGAATCTGACAGTATGAAAATTAAAAATGTAAAAAAAACCAAAAATGTACTTAAAGAACAAAAAGGCAGGAAGAAGACGTGTGACAGGTACATTTAGCCTTATCTCTAAGGTACAAGAGATGCTTACAATCATTAAGAAAAAAGATAAACCCTTCCTTAGAAACATGGGCAAAGGATATGAACAGGAAATTCACAAAAACTATACAGGACTGAAAAAACCAAAAAGATACTTATTTATCCTCAGTAATAATCTCAGTAATGCCAATAAAAATAAATGTAATTTGGGCTGGGGATTTAGGTCAGCAGGCACAGAGCCTGCCTGGCAAGCACAAGGTCCTGAGTTCAATTCCCAGTACAAAAAATAAAAAAAAGTGTCATTTATCTTCAGTTCGTGTGGTCAAATAGTAAGGCCGACAGATTCTGGGGCAGGGGAGGGTGTGAGCATCGAGAGGGGAGCAGCCCTGCCGGGATAATCACTGTGTGTGTTCCAAGGATGACGCGGCAGAATTAGAAACATTATACCTTTTATCGCAGCGATCTTGTTTGCTAGTTTTTATACTAAAGAGATAATTGCAAAAACGAGCAAAGAGATATACAGGATGTTTATCATGACATTGTTTATGAGAGTAACATCTCGACAACAACCAAAATGATCATCAATAAAATAAGTATGATACATATATACAATGGAATACTATTGAGTAATTACAATAATTTTGCAGAGCTCTATTTATTGACATAGAAATGTGTCTATGACATATTGTTGAGTGAGAAAAGCAGGTGTCAGTGAGAACAGTATGTATAATACAGCTCCTCATCTATAAAATTATATACATGGATCTCCATGTGTATATATGCATAGAGATATGTCTGCAAGGCTGTTCACCAAAATGCTAGGAGTGGTTATATCTGGGTAGTAGGATTTTTACTTTCTTTTTCTTACTTTTAGGTATCAGTTTGATTTTTGTTTTTATAATGAGGATATATCGTGTTTGTCATTCAGAATAAACAATAAAGCTATTTTCATTTTGGAATGAAGATAAATATTAAACAGGAGGAATCAGGACGTGGTGATTTAATGGTTGTGGATAAGGAGTCAAGAGGCAGCCGAGACTGTGATCCACGGTGCCTGAAGGGTTGTGTATCACCGCAAATCTGAAGCAGCAGCTGATGGAGAGGGAAGAGGGGACACTGTGTGCTTGGCGCTTTGGTTTGGGGCAGTGGCCGGCAGGCAGGCAGCGTCTGAGGAGGGCGGGCCGTGGATGATATTTAGGAGTGAAGTGGTGTCTCAACAAGAACAGGGAGGGCTGGAAACAGAGTCCTGGACCATAGCCAGGGTGATGAACAGGGGAATTGAAGAGGCTGCGTGCTCAGGAGTGTGAGGGACTCTGGGGGCACAGAGAGCCTCAGAGTCCATGAGAGTGGGGCAGATTTCCAGAGAAAGGTCAACCATATCAAATGATGCAAAGGCATGGAGACTGAGGACAGAGTCCAGGACTTGACAAATAGAAGTCTGTTGGTGACTTTGGAGAGAGCAGTTTCGGTGGAGGAGGCTGTGCACTGCCGCGTGCAGGGGTATGGGGTCTGTGGTGGGAGAAGAGAAGGTCCAGCAGGGGATGCAGGCTTGAAGGACACGGTCAGCCTTGGTCAGAGAAGGCAGCACCTGTGCCACTCCACTCACTTACCAACTGTTGGGTATCGCGAATCATTCTGCTGAGCCCTTATGAGGTCTGAAAGTCTTTCTCCCACCAGCTGGCCCAGGAGCCTCTACCAGAGGATGGGAGTTGGCCAGTGCGAAGAACTTGGTTTCCTTGCCTGGACTTGAATTCATACTTGAGGGATGAGAAGAAGGACTCTACAGAGGGGTGACCGGAGAGCAGAGAGACAGACCTGGTGGGGTCAGGTCTTCTATCCATGAGGACGTACACGATAGACGCAGGCCACAGAGAGGGTCAGCCAGGAGGCCAGGACGCCTAATGCTAGAACAAATTTTTGCTGTGGGTCCTGCTGTGAAAAAGTTCGATTTTGTGGGAACGGCCACTCAGTACTTGCATTGCTCAGGGACTCACAGTGGTCCAGTACCTGCTATGGACATAGCAGATGCCCCTTTGTTAGGAGCGATGGGTACGAGGGATCCAACTGTGGGTTCCCCCTGCAGGACCTGTGAGCAGAAAAAGAAGCTGAGGGTCAGTTATGGTTTTCTGGGGAGACTCTGAAGGAAAACAGTGTGACTCAGCTTCTGTGCCTGTGACAGTGTTTTGACCCCAACAGTAGGAGCCCCGGAGCATGGATTGAGGAGGTGAAGATTTTCTGGGCATTAGTTGGTCCACATGGCCAGAGTGTGTATGAAGTGTTGGAGGGATCCAGACACACAGGCAGAGCTCAGATCAGAGGAGAGGCTCGGGCATCACACTCTAGAAGAGATGCTCCAAGGAACGAGAAACGAGACATTTGCTTTTAACCCACTGAAGCGGTGTTCCCTAAAATGTGCTCCTTTAAGCCTTAGTTTCTCAAGGTTGTGAGGCAGAAAAGGGCTCTATGGCAAATATGCCCATGGGATGTGGCACCCTGCTCAGTGCTTGTGAAGGCTCTGAGAAGTCTTATGATGAAGAAATTGGATCAACATTCAATTTTCCCAAACTTATTTGATCACAGAAACTTTCTCTTTTTTCTTCTTCTTTTTTTTGAAACAAAGTCTCTCTATGCAGTTCAGGCTGGCCTTGAGCTTGCTTTGTAGCCCAGGATGACCTCGAACTTGCAACAATCCTCCTGCCTCAGCCTCCTGAGTACTGGGATTACAGACGTGAGCCACCATACTCGGCTCACAGAAACTTCTTTCCAGTCTATCACCAACTTACTTGCTGCAGGACTCATGCTGTCCTGTGTGTTCCCAGAGTCAGCGTGTATGCCAGCATGGGTGCATGAGCACAGAGGCAGATCCCAAGTCAGCTCAAGGAAGAAGCTTGCAATCACTGTGGACATTTTAACCGTGGAAGAGGAGCAGTCAGGGATGCCAGCCCCCGAGGCCTCCGGCAGAATGTGGACCATCAAGGGTCCTGCCTGGGGAGCCTGGCTGTAGGTGAGTGTCCTTCTTGACTTCTGGGGTTCTCTCGGTGTGCAGAAGTGATGCTTCGGCCTGGGAGACTGTGGCCTCCTCTCTATTCCTGTGTGCTCTGCCCAAGAGTACTCAGAGGCTGGGAATGAGCAGTGCGTGAAGGTAAGATGTGAACACATAAATATCCTCATTATATCACAAATACACACTCCAACTTTACATCACAGGAGCAGCAGCTGGAGCCGCCCACAATCCTAATTGCTTTTCTGTACTGAGCGAATGTCCTCTCTGCAGCCTGTGTCTCCCATTCATTGAGGTAATTACTGGAGGAACCAGCTGTGTCAAACTGGCGGCAGGCAGCACATCTGTGCCATCACCTGATGGGAGCCACCGCAGGATGGATGTCCCATGGAGCCAGCACCTCTTTGCTGTGGCCTGTGGCCTCTCAGCTCTGCTTTCCATCTCTGTGGCTCCAAACTGAGCTGCAGGAACGGGACAGGGTGTTGCTCCTCATAGGGACCTGACAGGCACCATTCAGAGGGGCAAGCAGGACCCAGGCCAGGCACAGGCAAGGGGTGGGGATGGTTGGAGAAATGACTTCGTTTAATACATAGCTCAAGATGCCTTCTCTGAATCTTACATTGAGCAACATTGCACACTCTGGGGACCAGGGACTTTTCAGGACCAGAGAGACAGAGGACAGAGGTACTTCTCTGTGCATGACTCAGAGAAGGAAGTTACCTTCAGTTAAGATGTTTTCTTCTGTAAAATGAGAACTTCCAGGTCCCAAAGTGCCACCAACTTGTCCCCTTGCTTCTTGGTCTCTACCACTGAGGACTCATGAAGATCCATTTGAGATTTTTTTAAGGTACCTCCTACCCCTGGGGGTTTCAGCTGGGAGAGGCAATGCACACTGCTGGCACCTGGGCCCTTGGTGGTGGCCCAGGTAGGTGCCCTGGGAGAGGTGGGCAGGAGTCTCTTTTCTGAGGTGCTGGAGTGGGTGGTGGGTTGTGGCCCGGGCACTCTGCCCACCAGGCTTCCTGTAGGTGGCAAGTGAAACTTTTCTTCCTGGTTCTTTCCCAGCAGCTAGCTCCATTCCCCCAGCCCCAAGTGGCGGCTCCTTGGGCCGGAAACAATGTGCTTTCTCCACGCCTTGGAGTGGAAGTCAGCAGTTTGGCACCGTCTGGCTGGCAGCCTCTACCGGCTTCCTTTGGCACTTTATTGGCAAAGGCGGTGACATTTCTTTCAGTTGGGTGGGTGGAGCTGTTATGCAAACTCCCGCTCTCCTCATTCGCCAGATGAATATTCATGACTCAGGCAATCTGTACCAGCCAGACTTTCCTGAGGGCGGCAGCTTTTCTTCTCTTCCTTTCTTTCTTTTTCTTTCTCCTTCTCTCCTTCCTAGCTCATTGGAAAGCCGAAGTGCAGCTATATTTAATTTACAAATACAGAGCTATTCAGCTTGCCTTTTGAGATGCAGGCTTTGGGGGAGAGGTGCGGGGAAAGGGGGTAGCAGCTGAAGCCTTGGGTCCTGACCTTGTGTCTCCAGGCGCAGTTCCCAGGACCTGAGCCCTGGTGTCATGTGTCTGGGGCTCCCTTTGAGTTGGACACCACAGTGCCCCAGTGCCTGAAGTTGCCGCTGCTTGTGCCCCGCTAGTCCCCCTGGCCTCTGAGGTGTCCATGGAAATTCTGATGCAATGATGTGTGGGCCAGGCTCCACCAAAACATCACTGCTTCCCTCCCAGCTCTTCTACTGACCACCTAGACCCTTCTCCAGGTTCAAGGTCAAAGCCCAGAAAACAGTAGGATATTTGTTAGGCACTGGCTTCCTTGGGAAGGACCCAATCCGGATTAGGATCCCATTCTTTCCTAGCAAGTACAGCTGCCTAGCTTCCTTTGTCTGTTCCCCAGAAAGACACCAGAAACTCTGGCAGAGGGGTCAGAATTCCCAGAATTTGCCAGAAAATGTGGTCTTAGCAAGGATGTGCTCGTGTGAGTATGTCTTGTGTGTAAATATTTACACACAGTTTAAGTGAGTCTGTGTGCCTACATCTATGTTCAAGTGTTTGAGTGTGTGTCTGTATGTGTAAGGGCGTGAATGTGTATGTCGAGGAAAGTCTGGGAATGTTTGCATGTGCGAATGTGCCTCTCCAGTTAGAGTTGCGTGTGTACCTCTGTGGGTCTGGAGGTGTTGCGTGTGTAAGGGCGCTTCGGGGAGAACCGAGATATTTGTGCATGGGTGTGTGTGTAAATGGATTGTAGGTGTGTGTCAAAGTGAGATTGTGGGAGAGAGGCAGAGAAAGAGAGAGAGAGAGAGAGAGAGAGAGAGAGAGAGACAGGGACAGACAGAAGAAGGGGGAGGGCTAAGGTATGCTCCCCCCAACTCCCTCCCCAATCTTTTCCCTTTCCCCTTGCGAATGGTACAGATTCTATCCAAGGACACGAACAGAAGGTTTCCCAGCACAGAGCGTCCTGAGATTGCTTTATATTCCCCCCTCCTTGTTTCAAGTAATCCAAATAGCAGCGTTAGACTCGCCCATTCTTACTGCCCACCGCTCAGCCTGGAGCGGGAGAGGGAGCTGTCTCATCTGACCCCCTCTGAGAGCACCTTGTAGCCCTGAGCCAAGGAGCTGTCTTCCAAATCTCATTCCGTGGCGGCCCAGGCTTCAGTGGCAAGAGCCAGCTGCCTCCCCGCCTGCCAGCAACTGCCAGGCTCTTCCAGAACCCACATCCAGGCCCGGCCTCATTTACAAATATGCAAATTTGCCTCTTTTCTGGTATGCAAATGGAGACATGACAAATAGCTAATTAGGGTCAAAAGAAGCACTTTGAACCAATTAGTTGTAGGGTCGATTTCCTTCTGCTAGGAGGAGACTGAGTCTTGTTGCTCCCCTCCTTGACTCCTCTGGACACTGGTACCCTTTGGTCTGTCCTGTCGGGTGGGGGCTTAGTTTCAAAGAGCCCTGAGATGGGAGTTGATGTTTGGGTCTCCGTCCCACCTCTGATTCTTAACTGTGTGGCTTTAGACTCCTTATTTGTGTGAGCCTCAGTCTTTTTCTCCTTGACATGGAGTGGTGAAGGTGACTGTTTTGTCCTGATTGATTGTCCACTCTCTCTCCCTTCTCTTGGAGAAGCTTGGATGGAAACAGCCTTTGAAAACTGTATTAAAATTTTTGCTAGTCACCTCAGTTGTACAGCTCTGGTAAAATACGAATAGTTGAGTGAAGAGTTGTGTTGAGTAGGGTTCTGAGGCCAAGTATAGATTCACCAGAAGTGACTGCTGGATTAGCAATGTCTGCAGCAGACAGGTGTCTGGACCCTGGCGGGTCATGGGCTGCATAGTTGTCTACTGTAGAAAATATGGATGGAGCAAGTTCCTGGTTCTAGTGCTGTCTGCTCTCTTGAATCAGTGACTTACCCTTCCTGAGCTCAGCTTCTTGGTATAAAATGGAGAATGAAACACGTCTTAGAGTTACTGCAAAGTGTCAACACAGGAAGGTTAGGCAAAATCTCTTTGTGATCTGCAAGGGGATGTGTCTGTTTAATTGACATGTCAGTGGGAAAGGCATGTTGGCCCATTTTAGAGGAGATGAGCCTGAGCCTTGGAGAGGGTGGGTACCTTGCAGCAGAAGCTGGCAGCTTTATCAGGCAAGTCTGCACCATGGCTAGGGCCTTTCCTCCTTGCCATTACAAGATCCTGGCTCCCTCTTGCCACCCCTGTGCTGATGCCCCGAGCAGGCTGCAACAAGCCCTGCTGGCCTGGCTCCACTTCTGGGTGTGAAATTTGGCTGAGTTGGCACCTAGGAGAATGGGGCAATTGGCATCCTGGAGCCTGGGGCCTGGGCTAGGGCCAGTGGGCAGAAGAAGAGCTGGTGGGCGGGCCTGAGTTTCAGGGAATTAACCAAAGCCAGAAGTTGGCAGGAGTGGAGCAGAAGAGGATCTGGCTTGAGGACTGTCTGCTCAGGGATGCTGAGAGCTGGGCTGGACCTTCAAACAGAGCCCAGTGGCCTGATGTCTGCCTGGCTGCTGCCAGTACCTGAGCATATCAGCCATGTCCCCGAGCATGTCTTTGTGTGTGTGCATGTGTGTCTGAATGCCTGTGTTGGTATAAAGAGGTGTATGTGCATATCTAGGTGCAGGTTGTATCTGTGTGCCAGTGTTGGCCTGCAGTGTACACATGTGTCTGTCAGTGCCTGCACATTTCCACCTGAATCTGTGTGTGTTCCATCACTGTGCACCTCCTCCAGGGTGTGTGAGTGTGTCCTTAGTAGTGAGCCTCTGACACTTCTATCAGTGTCTGTGGATATGACTCAGGTCTTCTGTGGCATCCATCCATGTCACTGTGCCTCTGTGTCAGCTTTCATGTTCTTTCCAGCACCCTGTACCTCGCTGTCACAAGCACATTATCTGTAAGTGTGCCCATGTACTTGTGTCAGTGAGTGTCTCTGTGGTGGTGCTCACATGTTGGTGTGCTTCTGAGTGCATATCTGTACCCTTGAGCGTGTTAGGACCTACCTCAGGATGCAGGCACGGCTGTGGACACATGAGCAGAAATAGACCCTTGTGCATCTGCAACAGTTCTAGGTTGTCACTCTGTCCTTGCCTCGAGGCTGATGCTCCTTGGCTCTGCTGCAAGGGACTTAGGGCTTTGAATTTTTCAGGATGCTGCCCCTGACATACCAGGGCACGTTGCTCCCAGAGAAGGACCTGTTTGCTTCTTGGGACTTATTTATCCCTTCCTCGCTCTTTCCTGATCACATCTCCTATCCTTTTTCTGTTCTTTTCATTCCCTGTCTTTTCTCTTGCCGGGGCTGCTGTGGAGGTGACAGATGAAGCCTTAAACATTCCCCTAGAGAGGCTCCTATCTCATCCCCACGTGGCCTCTGTTCCAGCCACACGGGCTCCTGGGTCATTTAAATTAAAGTGGTTGCCTTCCCACTGCTTGTGAATAATTACCCTCGGGGAGGTTCAGGCTGGGAACTCAAGGTTTCTCCTCCTTCTCTTGGCAGGCATCGCTGTTGCCCTCTCGCAGCAAGGATGGAAGGTGGCCCCACCCTTTGCTGGAACACCTGCGGCTAGGCTTCCTGCACCTCTGCTCCAAGGACTCCTCTGCTTGGCTCGTCTAACCAGAGTGCCTTCTGCTACTGCTAGACCTTCTGGGATTTCACTTAAGGTGTTCTTCCTCCTATCTACATCCCCGGCTGGGCAGCCTCACCCTGGACATGGATCTGCTCCTGTGCTGACTGTGAGTGTCTCTATCCTAAGCTGCTGAGAGATCCTCTGGGGCAGGGACTGGGTCAGATTGAACCCTACATACCCTGGCCCACAGCACAGCTGGGAATGTAAATGCTGAAGGGTGATTCTGGTACAAAACAAGGTGCCCCAGGATGGATCCTGCAGTTACCAGAGACCTCCCCTTCCTTCCTTTCTCTTTGTGGTCTTCTCCCTTGGCTGAAGATTTTGGATGGACCTTCAGTAAAAGTTGTAAAGTATATAAATAAAAGAAAAAATGCCCGACACTAATAACTATCATTTAAACTTTAAGGAGAAAGCATGTTAAGATGACATATTGGAGTAGTTCCAAATTAGCATGAAATTCTCAGATTTTTGACTTTGCTCTCTTACCTTGGGTCTGTGATTGGATCTTCTCCTCACTGGAATTCTGACCAGGCTGGGAATGAAGCAGAGCATGGAGAACTTGGACTTCATGCTTAAATAAGTCTGGCTTCCATGTATAGCCTCCGTGACCTTTTGGAACCTCAATTTTATAATCTGTGCAATGGGAGAGAAGGCTTCACTTCACTGTGTGGTGCCCAAAGCCAGAAGCAATGGCTGGCACCTGTCCTTCCACCTTAAGACTAAACCCAGAATCCAACCATTTCTCTCAATCTCTGTTGCCGTAGCAGCAGAGCCATCATTTCCCCCATCTCCCAGGGGTCTCTCCTCTCTACTACAGTCACAGAGATTGTAACATGGAAGTCACATCATATCACTTTGTTTGCTCCAGTGATTTAGCTCATCTAGAGTAAAAGCCAAGGTCATCACAATGGCCTCAAGACCCCACATGACTAAGCCTCACTGGTTATTGTCTGCTGTTCTCCTACATGTCCCTAATCTCCAGCTGCGCTATTCTTCTGGAGTCCCCAAAAGTGTCAGACACATCCTGCCTCAGGGCCTTTGTACATGCCATGTCCTTTGCTGGAATGCTCTTCCCCTAGGCATTATCATAGCCATGATCACTTTCTTTGGGTCTCGAAGGTCACCGTCTTCATGAAGTGCATTCTGCTCTTTTTGATTTATCCATGGAATTTATCACAATCTTCCATACCATCCTTTTCTTATTATATTCTAGGTTGCTCTTCTGAAGAACGTGAAAGCTCTTTGAGAGCAGGGATTTTGCCTTTGTTTGTACCATTTGCTATAATGCCTGGCAAATAATAAGTACTCAATATATTTCTTGTTAAATGAATGAATTGCTCATGTTTGGGCAGTAGCAGAGCCCAGAAGTGGCTGTCTACCAACTTGGGCAATCAAAGGTTATTCTTCTGCAACCCTGAAAGGGCATCATGCCAGAATTACTTCATGAGCCAGGCAGCAGGGTCCTTGGGAGGATCCGCCCTGTGGTCTTTCTGCTCGGGGCAGCCAGCTTAGGTGGAAGCACTGAGGCACCAATTCGACATGCCCTGGGAGTCAACAGTGTGACCTCTCGGGCCAACCAGGGGTCAGGGCTGATGCTTGCTGGCAGCCTCTCTCTTGCCCCATGGCTCCACGTGCGTTGAAAGCCAATGTGGTCTTTTGGAAATTTCCATGCAGCCAGGGTTCTCCATGGGAGTGAGGGAGTGAGGCCCTCGGATAAACTCAGACCAGGGAAGATGGTTGGCCTTATCACTGGGAGGGTAAGAAGGGCTTGCTGCTAGAAGGGCACGGAATGGGCTCTGTGGACTTGGGAAGCAGCGTGGCAGAGCGAAGCTTATAGGAAATACTTGGGGTGCTGAGACATGGCAGACAGCGGGTCCACTGGCATGCGTCTGTGCCACCTAATGAGACTGTTCTGAAGCTGGGATTGCGTCTGGTCTGCCTTCTTTAGGAATGAACCCTGCCCTCTGAGGGTGCCATCAATGTCTGGGATCAGGGCTAGGGGTCTCAGGCAAAAAAAATATGGTGGAATAGGTCAGGCTTCTGAGCAGATCTTGGAGCGGCTGAGGTGAAGGGTTGGTGAACGGGAGAGTGGTTTCCCCAGCTCTACTTTATACCATTTTTTCCAAAGTGGGCATGTGGGATGCCTTAGAGCTGGGGACACACCAAACCTGAATGATCTCCCCAAATCTGACCCCACTCATGGATAAACATCGATTTGTCTGAATAGTAGAAGAAGAATTCTAACATTAAAAAAAAATAACATGGGCTTCTTTAGCTGTCTGGAGAAACCCACAGATTCTCCTCCCATAGCATTTTAAATGCGTAACATAAGACATAATAGAGTTACAAAGGAAACTCATTCTATTGAAATATGGTTCTAACTGTGAACCTCAGGTTAAAATGGGCAGTTACATTCTTTTTGAGGGCAAATACTGCACTCTGAAAACAAAGCACAGGTGCTGGGTCCAACTTCCATATGCTTGGAGAGTGGGGAGGCATTTTTGCACACTTTGTGGGGGCCATTCTGAAGTAGAGGAGCAGTCATGTCCCAGGCAGAGGTCCAGACTTTTGGGGGAGGCCAAGGGGTGAGAGCTGCCTGGGCTGCCAGGGAGAGAAGTGAGCTCCCCATCTCTGCAGCTGGTGAGCCAGAGGCCCATTCATCAGGGATTTTGGGGTCATGCTGGGGTGGGTGATTTGTGCCCAGGTGGAAGAAGATTTGGGTTGATCGCCTGAGCTCCTTTTAGGGGTGGGTCTAGATGTCTTTTGCTTTCTAGAGCTATATAGGAAATTCACACTAATGTCACCTCATTTCTCCCTCAGAGCCCGTAGCTGCTCTTGGTTGTTTGAAGACAGTGAGTTTCAGGCTGGGGAAACACCTTGATATTCTGAGTCTGCTCCCCAAAACCATTCACAAAGGGAGGTGGGTTATATACCATTCCACCCAGCACACTCCCTCCCCCTCCTCATTGGTCTGTAGTCTCAACTCAGCCTCAGACAGGGTCGTTTTTTTCTTCTGTGACATTATGGCCCTCTCCTAATGCCATCAGCATTGCCTAAGACAGTCTTCAAAGTTGTCTGGTCCTGTCCCCGGCGTGGGAGAGTAGATGGGTTAACTGAGGCCCAGAGAAGGCAAGGACTCTGTGCAAGTCACGTGACCTCGAGTGGCTGAGCTGGTTCTGGAACCCTGGCACCTGCCACCTCTTGCTGCTGAGCCTCCGGGCCCTGGTAGGAAGGGATGGCAGCAGGAAGGCAGCCCTGGTCCCCCTTGACAAACACATCATGCTTCCCACCTAAACCACCTCTGCGGGTGGGGAGCCCGGGACTGGTCTATTAGCTTTCTCCTGCTGTCCGCCGAGGGTGCATTTGTCTGTTTTGCATTTTTTCCAGGCTGTAGTTAGACAACTCTTGGTCCTGGGGGGAGCGCTGCAAAGAGAAAATGTCAGGGCGACACGCCGCCAAGATAACATTAGCGAAATATCAAGTCCTTTATGATGTCAGGAGGGATTCCTTCCCGCTGCCGAAGCTGCCTAATGACATCATAAAATAGGCTGGCGGCGGCTGTGGTCCCCCTGAGTCATCAATCAGGCCTGTCTGTGGAGAGCCCCAGTACTCAGGGAGGGGGGTGCAGGATTTTAAACTAAAAAGAAGCTACAATATAGCAGCACCATGATGCCTGAGGGGCTGAAGACACCTAAGCCCTCAGAAAGGGTCTGTTCCCTGGCCTACCTGTTTGCAAGGTGGCAGGCCTGATCCCCTTACAGAGATCTTGGGACACTAATGGCTCCCGAGGAGGACAGCACCCAGCCTAGCGACCTGCAGAGGTGCTGAGCCCAAGAAGGGCCCTAAGCCTAGCCTTCCTGCTTATTGAGGGCTGGCTGATCTGTCTTTCTGGGAACACTGAGATGTTGGCAGAGACAGACAGCACTTCTGGGGCATAGGTGTCATCATGGGAGGGGGTCTTTGACTCCTTTGTAGCATGCATACCAGTGACCTGTCCGTGGGTTTGTTTGCCTGTGTGCCTACCACATGCTTGCAGATTTGCTTTCAGTTATGTGTGTCTGAGTCTGCCTGTGTGTCTCCTTGTGTGTTCACCTGCTTGTGCTTGTGCCTGGCAAAGTGTCTGGAATGCGGGCAGGAGATGTGGAAGGGGGTCAGGAAGACTTGAGGAGGGAAGGAGATCCCAGAGGGTGAGCAGGTCCATGGGTATGTGTGCATGTGCCAAGCACACCCTCTCATCACCCTCGGCTGAGAGCGTTGATGTGTTAGAATTGCCTAGGGAGATTGTAAAACTTACCCATGCCCCAGCCTCACCTCAGATCAATGAATTCAGACCTCTGGAGCCAGGGCCCAGGCACTGATATTTGTAAAGGCTCCCTGGATGATTCTGAAGGGCAGCCAGGTGGAGAGCCAGGGGGGTACTGAGCAAGTGTGGTCTTAGGATGAGCAGGATTGGCCCCCATGGGTGGCTTCTATGAAGTGCTCTGTGCAGAGTGTCAGGTCTCGTACCGTACCTCCTGAGTCCCAACCTGCGTGTGCATCCCCAGCCTGTACTTAAATTGGATCCTAGGTGAGTTGCATATCTGGTAAAGTTGGAGAAGAGTGGAGCCAGGCTTCTCAGCTAGAGCACGCAACACAGAGTATTCAGCAAACCCTTAGAGATCCTACTGTGGACTCACTCAGGAGGCCTGGGCAGGAACCTGAGAACATGCTTCTGTAAGGAGTGAGTTTCATGGTCCTGATGCTGCTGCTGCTGACCTGGGGACCACCTGGGAGAGCTGCCTGTGGAGCTGCTGTGTATAGAAGGAGGGGGTGTGTGTGCTGGGGTATGAAGGCAGGGGAAAATCATGTTCCTCCCCAAGAGCCAGGTCTGCCACTATTTTAAGGCCTCAGTTTCCTTGGGGGCAGACCAGGAGTGGGGAGAGTAAGAGAACAGGAAGCATACAGGTCTTCTGAGGGCTGCTGGCATTTGTGGATCCACTGTGATCCCTTTAGAGCCCACTACCCTTCTCTTAAGAGAAAGGATCCAAGACTGGACCTTCTGTGCTACCTGAGAATGTCAAGCTAAAGCCTCAGGCTTTGCCAGGATCTGGATTTATCAAAGGCAGC